ATTTTGGAGAAATAGTTAACATGCTTGTTTATATTACTTTAAAAAATATATAGCACTTTAAAATATACAACAATAAATTATACTAAACTTACCTGGCCATCTTGAAAATCTTGAGTAGAAAAGTTTTGACTTTGAGATAAAAGGTCATTGTCAAGGGAAGCTTGAAAATGACCTTTTATCTAAAAGTCAAGGGAAAAAAAGGATAAGTACATTGAATCTTGCAACAATAACAACAACAACAACAAAAAGAAGAGAAATAGTTAATAATAAAATTAAAGGTTAAACTTCATAATTGCTATAAATGTTATGGGCTTAAAATAACTTAATAATGTTATAGGCTTAGTAAATAATTTAATAAATTGCCAAAAACTGGTAGCCAAGAGAACAGAAACTTTCAGATGCTACTTTTACTTTTTTTTACTTTTCCATGCAATTTGATAATTATGTTATTTAATAACATTGATCTTTCAACACTATTGTTTATTTTTATTTTTAAATGTCAATAATTGTAGTACATTGTGGCAAAGATATAAGGTACAGTCATATCAATACAGTCAATCAATAATATATATTCTGAATAAAGGTCTTACTTTCACAATTATTCACAAACAGTAAATTAACTAATATTAAGTAAATACAGAATATATATGAGAAAAATACTAATGATAATGTTCACAAACTAAAATAACAAGACAAAGCTAATATAATAAAATATATATGACTTATAAATAAAATATATGACAAAGCTCATATATAACAATATATACCAATAATAATATCATTAATAATATTAATATAAATAATAATAACAATGGTGATAATAATGATAATAATATTAACAATTGTTATTGTTGTTATTGCTATCATTATTATTACTATTATTATTCTATTATTATAATTATTATAATAATAATAATTATTATTTTTATTATTATCACTGTTGGCAAGGCCAATGATAAACAACTCTGCTTATTAGTTCAAAGTTGAATTTTATAAATAAAATTACTATACTAGGTTGGTTGAAAAGTTCGCGGAGCGGAAATGAAAAAACAATTTTATGATTCAAAAAATGACTTTATTCTTCAGTATATTCTCCCTTAAGAGCAATACACTTTTTCCAACGATTCTCCAATTCATGTATCCCATCTCTGAAGTGCGATTCCGGAAGGCCTTCAAAATACCCATTTACGGCTGCAATGACTTCTTCATGTGATGAGAAACGCTTTCCACGTAGAAATTTTTTGAGATGTGGAAAGAGGTGGAAGTCGGACGGAGCCAGATCTGGTGAATAGGGTGGATGTTCCAAGCGTTCGTACTTTAATTCGACCAATTTCGCCTTTGCAACATCGCTGATATGAGCAGGTGCGTTGTCCTGGTGATAAATGATTTTTTTATGCAGCAAACCAGGTCTTTTCTCACGAATTTTTTTATCCAACTGGTCCAAAAGATTTTTATAATATTCACCTGTTATCGTTTTACCGGTTTGAAGGTAATCTATTAATAAAATTCCTTTCGCATCCCAAAAAACTGATGCCATAACCTTCTTTGACGATTTTGACGCCTTCACTTGCTTCGGAGCTGAACAACCGGGTTCTGTCCACTCTGCAGTTTGTTGTCGCAGCTTCGGATCATAGTGGTAAACCCAAGTCTCATCCATGGTTACGAATCGACGCACAAAATCTGTTTTATTCTTTTGAAAACGGGCCAAATGTTCTTGAGAAAGTTTTACTCGAGTGCGTTTCTGATCCAGAGTTAGCGAATGCGGCACCCATCTTGCCAACAGCTTTCTCAGACGTAATTCATCGTGCAAGATGTGTAATACCCGTTCATCTGAGATGCCCACAGCCTCAGCAATTTCACGTTTGGTCAATCGTCTATCATCCATAACCATGTCATGCACAGCATTAATCGTTTCTTCAGTAGTAGCACTTTTTGGACGTCCAGAGCGAGGGTCATCTTCAAGGCTTGAACGCCCACGTTGAAACTCCGCAGCCCATTTGCATACTGTTGTTTTTGAAGGAGCATCATCACCCAACACATTTACCATTTCATTATGAATTTCCATGGGCTTTAAACCTTTTTTCACAAAGAATTTTATTACAGCACGATGTTCAATATTTTCCATTTTAAAAAATACTATGACACGTCTAATTTCAATAGCTTGTAAACAAAGACTGAAATGACATATCGACTTGAAATTTTTTATGCGTTCATACGAAGAATGAATAAGTTTAATACAGTTATAAATTTGTTTCTACTACTGCAACATAGGTGCCGCTCCGCGAACTTTTCAACCAACCTAGTAAGTTTATTAAAAACTCATTAATAGCAATGCTTGCAAAGAATATAATTTAATAAAAACTATTAAACAATGAAAATTAAACTTTCTTAACGCAAGTTAAATGTTACCTTGAATTATACTTCTTGTTAATTCAAATTAAAACTGATCTTAATAAGAATAATACTGTCTTTGTAATGTTATATTTTAGGATTAAGTTTTTAAACACACATATATTATATATGTGTGTTTAATATATATTATATAACTTCTTTTTAAATTAATAATACACTAATAATTAAATTTCTATTCTATTTATACAAATTTTGAATATCGTTAAAAATAACTTGAAATTTTTGATGATCAAATAATTTTTTTTTAAATAATTGCCCACCATCTGGTCTACTCATGATTGATCCCACACGAGTGGGATCGGAATTTCCTTGGTTGCATGAAATTATCACAAGTTTTTACTCAATGAATAAAGATATGAAAATATATTTGAAGAAATGTTTTGAATTCAATAAAAAAGATGGAAGGCAAAAACTAAAAGTTTCAAGGCAACATGTTGAAAGGCAAATAGTATATCGATAATCTTGTCTTGATATATGACCAAGACCTAGGACAATGCAGAGATCAAGGACTAAAAACTCAGGTTAAGATGACAACAACTTTGTAAAAAAAATAGTTTGAGTTACTTTCACAACAAATTTGCATCTTGCAATGCATTTTTTATTGAATCATACGCTTATTTTAAAAATAGTTGAAAATAGGCACCATTTTTTATACAAAACCAAATAAATGTTCCGGAACATTTATTTGTTCTGGGTTGGCGGGACGGTACAAAAGTTCCTCAAATGTTCCTTGAGTTTTTGTTCCATTTGCGTTCACACGAGAGGATATTTGTTCATGTTCCATGTTCCACGGAATGTTCCATCAAATGTACCCTCGTGTGAACAGCCTATAACCATCTAAGCTATCCCGCCACATAACGGTATTGAAATGAAAATTAAACCATTTAAAGTTTACTTTATATTTTTACGGTTAAAACCAGCTTTGGTTTAAACCGTAAGCTTACGGTTTAAACCAAAAATGATTAAAAAACTATTTTTTTTACTTTTCATTTAAGAAATTTTTCTGTACGCATATGTTTTGAAGACAAGATTTGATTTAACTTATTTCAAATTATTTCTCACAGCAGGTCGTTAAACTAAATTTTGGTTTTCGAGATATAACGATTAGAATTATTTGTTTGAACAAATGCTCAAAGGTTTGAGCATTGTATTTGAGCAAGTTATTGAACACTGATTTTAAAGTTATAATAGGTACACTAACGTCTGAAATATCAAAAAATCTTTGATTTATGCAAAAAAATTGATTTATGCAAATTACTTTTTGTAAAACATAATAGTTACTTGATTAATTTTAGCGAACTACATAGTTACCTAACTAATTTTAGTTACGCTAATAAGTTAGTACTTATTTATTATAGACGAAGAATGTTGACTAATTTTAGCAAATTTTAAATTTTGTTGACTTTAGCAAACTTTAAAGTTTGTTGATTATTTATGCAAACTAAACAGTTGACTAATTTTAGTTACGGTTTTCTTAGTTTAGTGAAGTTAATTGAAATTTTAAGTTTGGGTCTAATAATTTATTTAACACTAATAATTTATTTTTAGGTTCGTTCTGCAATTTTTGAAGAAAATATTGAACATATCAAGTTCCTAATATTATCAACAATAAAAAAAAATTCCAAAATTTTATTTTTTAAATTGATTTTAATGATATTATTAAAACTTTGTTTAAAGAATAGTCATATTAAACGAGTTGCAAAAATGATATTTTTGAGATAATTTATTTCCAAATTCTATATACTGAAATCTTTCATCTATTTATATATTAGACCAATCTAAAGTTTTTTTGTCCTAAAAATAGACCAATAAATTATCAATTTCTGTTGATGCGCAACTATGATTAGTACAATTTTTCGATGTTTTCTCAAAATTAATTTACTCGGACTTTGCGCTTTTGTAAATGGGCTCTTCAAATATGAATTCGGTAGGGAGGAATCTGTGTCAATAGGACGTTATAGAGTTACGGAGGAAGGGATCAAAAATTTCACTTATTTGTGAAACATTTTGTTTTTAACTCTAATTCTTTATTTATAAAACAGATACTATAAGAATCTTTTGGTAAATTTAAATTTTTATTCAAAAGCTAACTAAATAAACATATATTTACAATAAAATATATATATATATATATAATTAATTAGTTTAATATTTGGGTGCCTTTTCAATTTTTTAAACAAACTTTGAAATTTTACCCAAAACCGTCTTTTGTTAAATTTAATTTATTTAATTAATATTTAACTGTTTAATTGCCCATTTTTAAATTTTCATTTTAAATTATATTAATTAATATTTTGTAGTGGTACTTCGTTTCGCCCACTTGTTTTTTTCCATAAATCTTACCAAATGCTTGCGTCTAAACAATAAAAAACCCATATACTCAAGATTTAATGGTGTTCAAGATACTTTGATGCTTGTTTAAAACATATAATATGAACTTGTAACAATTTATGAAAGAATATAATTTCAAAGTTTGTCGATTATTTTAGTTCATCGTATAAATTAGTTAAATTAAATTAAAACATTTTTATATATAAAAAAAATGAAAAAATTTAAAACGCCTAATTTTAAGTATAAAATAAAAGCGGTTTAATTAAATATATATATAATGTATATTATTACAAATATATTCATATATTAATGCATATCAAGACCTTGCATTTTCATGTTCATAACAGCTTTTTTAATATCAACACTGATTTTATCCTGGGTTGCATTCATTGTTTCTGAATACGTGCACGGATGATTATGAATATTATCCTGATATTTAGATTTAGGTAGAAGATTTTTCGAACGCCTATTTACCATTATATGCTTGTAAATAAAAACTGATGTAGCACACATTGTAACATCAATAAGAATCCTATCTTTCTCATCGGCATTGTCATTCACTTGTAAAGTATCCAATAATGTAGACTCTTTTGAATACAACACTTCTACTATATCTGATCTCTGTAATAAACATACTTTACTCCAAAAGCATTTAGGCAGAAGCCTAACATGGGAGTGTTTTCGCAAGTGTTGTTCATGCAAGTGCTGTCCACTGTGTTCAAAGTTTTTACCAATGTATAAAGATCCACCAGCTTTTAACATTGGAATCATCTGTTTGATTGTTTTACATTGCCAATCAGGAGGATAAATGGATAAAACACTATCTACTATGGCATGATCGAACTGTATGTTTCTTCCAAAATCTAGTTTGTCTAATTCAAATGGCTGGGATTGCTTAAAGGTTCCATTAACCAATTTGTTAACATATTGAACTGAATCAGAATCCATATCAACTCCATAAAGTATAACATCAGGAAAAAGACCTCGAAGAGCAATTAACCATTCGCCACAATGCAATCCATTAACAAAAATTAAGTCACCATTACGGATATTCAGATGCTTTGCAACTGTGCTTATTGGTGGGTAAGCACTACTTTTGTTCCAAACCGATAAATGCTTACAAAAACGTTCTTCATAAGAAATTCCTAAGACTTCACTTTCAATCCAGTTTGCAATCTGGTCTGTGAGTTTGCTAAATTGATGATGAAGAAACCCATCAGATAATTGATCTTCATGGACACGAGAAGAAAACAGCAAAAAAGTAATCAATCCAAAGCATATGCACAACACTAATATCTTTTTAATAAACGAACGACCAAACATATTTTATTTTTAATACCAATAAATTAGAATATACATAAAATCAGCATAAATCACCTAAATTAAATATGTAATAAATATATATACATACAATACATCAACAAAATAGAGTTCTCAATGTTCTTAAAGAACAGAGCAATAATAAATTAGTTAAAAATTACAACAAAAATTTTCCATTTAAAACTGCGTTTTATCAATAAAGACTCCTTTCTTGAGTCTTATTCACGGAACACAGTGTTTAATTAAAAAATTTCATTAAGTGTTTTTCTACTAATTTATATATATATATATATATACATATATATATATATATATATATATATATATATATATATATATATATATATATATATATATATATATATATATATATATATATATATACATATATATATATATATATATATATATATATATATATATATATATATATATATATATATATATATATATATATATATATATATATATATATATATATATATATATATATATATATATATATATATATATTAGGGCCCTGTGAATCGCAGTTTTTGTTTCAAATTGAATCTTGAATCAAAGCAGGTTTTGATTCATGATTTGAATCACGTTTCGAATTGACATTTTGAAGTCTAAATTTAAGCATTTTTTATTTAACAATACATATTTCAAAATAAAATAAAATAAAAATATTGTATAATCTCTTTATTGATACTTGATACTGGTTAACCTTTCTAATGACTAATTAAAAAGGTATTTAAGGATAAGTAAAAATATTTCGATAGCTCCAAAGCGCAGAATATCTAAAATACCTACAACAAAAAAATAAGTAAAATTTTGATCTTTGAAAATTTTTGAATCGCATCTCAAATCATTTTTTTGATTCGATTCGGTTCCAAATTTCGAATCTTCGCAGGGCCCTAATATATATATATATATATATATATATATATATATATATATATATATATATATATATATATATATATATATATATATATATATATATATATATATATATATATATAGCGCTTATACATATATACATATATATATATATATATATATATATATATATATATATATATATATATATATATATATATATATATATATATATATATATATATATATATATATATATATATATATATATATATATCAATAGCGCTTATACATATATACATATATATCCGAGAATTATACATATATACATATATATATATATATATATATATATATATATATATATATATATATATATATATATGTTTAATAAAAAAATTATTTGAGTTTTATTAAACAAGTTTAAAAGAAAAATATTTGTGCTAAAGTTCTGAGCTCTTAAAAAAAATCCTCATGTAACAAATGATATAATTAAAGCCCTGACATCAACTAATCTTTTTATAACCAAGAAAATCATTTACAACACTCTTAATAAAAAGAAAACTAACATCTTGTTTGATACCCCATTAGTTAACTGATGAAAATCGCAAGAATAGAGTTGAGGCATGTATGGAAAAATTTATATACTTATGTGTATATATATATATATATATATATATATATATATATATATATATATATATATATATATATATATATATACATATATATATATGTATATATATGTATTTATATTGGCTTTTGTTATATGCAAAGCGATTAATCTGCTGATGGTAACATGCAACCTGATACAACCTGCCACATGTTCTGCTTCTTTGTAGGATGGTTCTTTTATATGCAATATTTTATAAAAGTAAAAAATAGATAAGAGTGAACCATTCTACAAAGAAGCAGAACATGTGGTAGGTTATATTAGGTCACATGTTACCATTAGCATGACGATTGCTTTGCATATAGCTAAAACATTTTTAGGATCTGTTTTTCTAGGCAGTATAATTAACTCTGCTTTATACCTTTTGCTTTTTTTTACAAACTTGGATTAATTAAAAGAACAGAAATAACTGCATAGCCTATTGCTTATTTAAAGGTAAAACATGACAATAGTGTAATAAAAATTAAACATGAGAAATCACTATTTTTATCATGTTATTTTAATTTTTTACAAATAAATGCTTTGAGTAAAGTCTTTGAAGTAACTTTACAGTTACCATTCTTTCCAGGACTGCCCTATTTTCAATATTATTTCTAATTGAATTAAACAAAACCTTTCATTTTATTTTACTTATATATCTACCAATGTTATTATTGGAGATTTTAATTCTTATCACATTGAATGGCTTGACTCATTTTAAGACTCAAAAACCTTTTTATGAGTAAGATAAAAGTTAAATAATTTTTATGAAATTGTTATACTCTTCCACAGCTTGTGGTGTAAACAACAATCTTGTCAGAGACAAAAAGAGTTTTTTGGAACTCACTTCAATACTATTTAAACAATTTAATAAATGCTTCAATTTGTATTATTTCCTTGTTTTTTAGAAAATGGCATTTGTGTTATTAAAATTCAACTATTTCAAAACCATTCGTGTTTCTATTATAACCAAGGTCTATAATTAACAAACTTTTAACATCTCATTTTTTAGCCTAACATTATACTCTATGAAAATCGATATAAATATTGATCCTTGTTTTCTACTGCTGATTTGTTAATTAGTTAAACTTTTGATTTCAAGTTTTTTGTTTATATAAATGCTTTTCCTAATCTTACTTGCTTTATTTGCTGATAATACAACTATAAACAACAGTGTTGCCAAAAAGTCATCACTTAGTATAAGCAGTTAATCTTGAAAGTAATTTATTTATTGTGACAACTTAGGGTTTGCAGCAGCTGGCAAACTTGAACATTAAAAAACTCAGTTGTTTACAGCTAATAATTTCCACAATGTTGTTCAATGAATGAATGGCAACAAATAATTATTATTAATAGCATAACATGAAGTTATATATTTATTTTTATATGCTAAAATTAACAAAAACACATGAAAATCAAAATTCGTCAAGAGTAAAAATGAAAATTATATATATATATATATATATATATATATATATATATATATATATATATATATATATATATATATATATATATATATATATATATATATATATATATATATATATATATATATATATATATATATATATATATATATATATATATATATATAATATCTAATATCATAATAATAAAAATAAAATATATAATATTATAATAAAAATGTATTATTATAATAAAACTATCAATTAATAATATTATTATAAATAAAAACAATTTACAATGTGTTATTATGTTATTAACTATATTACATAGAATTAATAGTAACAGTGAACGTTTTTTAATTTTTTTTTTAATTTTGCACATTTAAATAACGAAAAATAAAATAAAAATTATTCAAACTAAAATTTCATAAAAACATCTTGGTCAAATTATTCCACCATCGATCACAAAAAAACATCAAAGTTTGGCGGCGGCTTTTCCGGCAACGCCGAAATACTGCATTAATTAAAAAAAATTTATAAATGAATTTAAAAAAAATATATGAATTTTAATTTTTATAAAAATTAAAACTCATATTTTTAGTTATAGTTATATTTTATAGTTTTACTACAATAAAATTTATAGTTCATACAATATATATTAAACTTTGCTCAAATTACTTAAAATTTATTAAAATTAAGTCAACTCTTCAAATCAATTTTATTTTATCTATTCAACGTAATGTTCAAGTGTTAAATATTTTAAACATTTTCTTCACAGTTTTAAAACCACATTTACATAGTTTTTTCAGTTAAAATTTTAGAAAGGTTTTTTAAATTTTAAAAACTACGTTGATAGACATATACTAAAATATTTAAAGCAACCATAAAATATTTTATCTCATTAGTTCCGACTCGGAATCAACGAGATAAAATATTTCAAAAGCTACGCATTTTGAACTTTAAACCCAGCTGTTAATGCAAAAAATGACCAAGTTATAAAATATTTAAAATGACTTTAGTAAATGAATGAAAACATTGAGAAATGCCATTCAACTATTGACTAGAAAAAGTTGTCATAGAGTGCAGTTTTCAATATAGTTAACGCACGCTTTTTCAAATAGGCACTTTATCGAAGACTCCGTTTATTTGAAGCAATTTTCATTCCCCATGGAGTTTCTTTAACAAACCTAGAGTTTGGACTGTTGTAATTGTAATGAAAACAATATCAGATACAATAACTATTGCTATTGCATAAACTTTTTTAGAAACAATAACAATACCTGTGTATTGTAATACTGTAATACAATAACAATAAATATTGTATTGCGATTCATCTTCATAATACAATAACAATATCTGTAAAAAAGGTATTGTAATGACCCACTACAATAACAATAAATATTGTATTGTAATTTAAATTTATAATACAATAACAATTTATTGTAATAAACAAAAATTGTTGTGATGTCAAAATTTATAAATTTTTATAATAGTCTAGTCTCCGAGTCATGTGACCTTGAGATAGGGAACAACTAATATTTAATTATCGACTCTATTTCTATTTTATTTACTGAATATTACATATCCTAGTTGCAAACTTTAAATAGCTCTACAAAAATGAGTTTGATGTGACTTACTTCTCTTTTACTGCTGGGGACAGACATGTATACATGATCAATTAATCCCATTTCTTCCACTTATATACTAGCTTTTACACTAGGCACCTATCCAATTGTTTCGATTATCACTTAAATATAACTCTAATATAACTTTGTTTTTTGTTTCCCTAAAGCTTTTATGGCTGTATGTGTTCCATAAAGTAACTGGACTTTTAGGTATAGTTGCGAAGTTATACAAGAATTTTGCTACATAAATCAAGAACAATATTTATTTGGTATTCTATACTGCTTCATTTTTCTAAAATGATCCCCTTTTAACGGTACGGTCTGATAGGTGATGAGTTATCTGAAAATCAGATCAGCCGTGAGCAGTGGTAGCGCACTTGCCTCAGAAATAAAGGATCCGTGGCTCAAACCCCACCCCTGGGCAAGCTTTGCGACATCGGTTAGGAAAAAGGCGTGAGCTTCCAAATAAATGCTCATCGGCGGTGCTGTGTGATTAGACCGTAA